CACACACACACACACACACACACACACACACACAAACACACACACTCTTTCACTGCATACAACCAAAACCGTGCCAGTGATTTTTGCCTGCAGTATTTTTGCGCAGCAGTGTTGTTGATGTTAATCTGTTTGTTTTGTTTCAGGCCATGCCCTCAGAAGATCAGAGAGTTGGTCTCAAACATCCTGGTCTCATGCTGAAATATTCAACTTTTAAAAACTTGGCCAGCATGTCTGCGTCGCGTGACGACTTGGACACTGCGATGGAGTTTTATTTGGAGGTAAAAAAACAAACAAACAATCATATCCTTCTAATTATTTATAATGTGTGTGTTTTGGAAATGTTCCAGCTTTGTGCATCATTTTAATGGGTTTGATTTTTTTTTCCAACCCTTCTCAGGCGGTCATGTTGGACTCCACTGATGTGAACTTGTGGTATAAAATTGGTCAGGTGGCTGTACGGTTGGTGCGCATCCCTCTTGCTCGTCACGCTTTTGAAGAGGGATTGCACTGCAACCCGGACCACTGGCCATGCCTGGACAACCTCATAACTATTCTGTACACACTCAGCGACTACACATGTGCGTAACATGTCATCACATCAACCGTAACGGCTGAAGCGCTGAAAGAAATCTCACTCTCATCTGCATTTTCCAGGCTGTTTGTACTTTATAGCCAAAGCCCTGGAAAAGGACCACCTTTACACTAAAGGCCTGGTGTTGAAGGAGAAAATCTTCGAAGAACAGCCCTGTTTGAAGAAAGATACGATGCAGATGTTCACAAAATGGTGAAGCCAGCTCACATTTTGGTGCTCCGTGTGTTTATAATGCACTCTGGCTGTAAATCACGAGTTTGGCGTGGTTGATTTGCAGCGATATGTCGATTCATTATGTGGAAGTGGAGGAAGAGGAGCGCAGGTCTGTTGTGGAGGAGGCTCTGGAGATAAAGCGGCGTAGGCAGGCTCTCTCTCAGTGTGAACCCAAACCCGACCTTGTTCTGGTTGAGCCGATYCGCCGCCTCTCGTGAGTTTGTGTTTCACTTTTCTTATTTAGATTGTTGAACGTCTTCTTTTAATGTTCTCATATTAACTTTATTATAAAGCAGAAACCAGACACGTCTGAAATATTTTATATGTTGTTCTGTTTATTTTTAGATGGAAGCATGTAGGAGAAAGTTTTCTTGCGATGTACAAACATCAGACCACGTGCGAGCCGCCGCGACCAAGTCTGGGCCGCAGAATCGACTTGTCAGAGTACCGCGACCCCAGCTTCCTTCAGAACCTCCCCCAACTGAGCAGCCCGGTCAGCACGGGTCAGCCCTTTATGCTGAGCAGCCCCAGTTCATCGCTGCCACCTGTAACCTTTTCTGAGTTTGCAGCGCTGCCTCCGTCTGCTTCTCAACCGCAAATTATAGCGAGCCAGACCACCGTGGAGGTCACTACTTCCGCTCCCCCGGCTGGTCAGTTGTTCAAAATGTTTGTCTTCCTCATTTGAAGAAATCGAAACTGAAAATGCTGCTGTTAGTCTGAGATGATTAATGTTTTTCACATTGTATTGTGTTTACAGCTACAGGAATGGAGATTTCTTTGACGGATAAGGTGAAGAAAGCTCCGAAAAGGAAACGCACGGTGGAGGAAAGTGGGGAGACGGCCAAGCGTCGCTCAGCACGCGTTCGAAACACAAAATGCAAGAAGGAGGAGAAGATCGACTTCCAGGAGCTGCTTTTTAAATACCTACCTCCTAGGTATTTWAAACTAAATGTAAATCACAAAGCTTCAATCTGAAGCTTGGCTAATTTTTTTAAACTATTTGATTGTTTGTGTTAGGCTGAAGAAGTTTGATCCTGATAATGATGATGAGAGCCTGGGCAATCAGGAGACACAGTGTGACGGGAAAGAAGATGTTCAGCCTCTACATGGGAGTTGTTTACTACTTGACACAGTTGAATACATGGAATCTGGTATGTCACCTATTCCATAGGTGTCAAACTCATTTTCACTGAGGGCCACACGAGCTCTTAAAGGGCCAGTTAGTTACTTCAATGTTTCATATTTAACTGCGACAAACAAAAAGCGTCATGTTCCTCTTCTCATTTCTGCAGCTGAGCACCGCTAACAAACAATAACTGAGCTCTATGTGGTATTTTCTGCATAGAAACAGCATTTTAACAAGTTCTCTTATACATACTGAGACGTACTACATATACGACTGACTAAATGTGAAATAAATAATAYGGAAATATAGGGATGCACTATATATCAGCATTAACATCGGTATCGGTCCGTTAAGTAAAACTGGGCCAATTTTAACGTCCGATATTGATTTCCCACTTGTTGCCRTTTGTGTTTGTGTTTTGGGAGGGGAGATGGTCGGTCGAGCAGTGTCTGATTGATCATGATAGTGTTAGTGATGCTGCGCAACCAGGAATAACTGAAGTAGAGCCATGTCAGCGCTTTTGTTGTTCTTTACAATATCAAAAAAAAAAAATACTCAAGTGCGATTTTGTATGTGATATATAAATTATTTGTGTGTTTGTTTAATATTTGTAAATATCGATTATCGGCCATWACAGCAGTATTAATATAATKTGACACRAGTGATCTGTTCTCTGTGTATTTACAGTACTGCTTTATTTTGTGGTGTGATAACAAAGTTTGCTTTCCCTTCTTTAGAGCAACAGGATGTCCAGAGCTTCTTGCTCAATAATATGACCAATGGGGGTATACTGGATCTGATGATGCGCTACCTGAAAGCAGTTGGTCAGAGGTTTCTGAAAGAGTGGCCTCGAGGGCTGACGGCTGTGGTGTTGGAGGTCTATCAGACCTGGAGGAAGCACAGCGGCGGTCTGCCTAACCCTCTGCTAAGAGACTGCAGCAACCAACACATCCGGGTAAACCAAAGAATCCTCATCACCTCATTCAGACATTTGAGGTTTAAGGATGTTTTATTTTAAGACTAACGAGAGTTGAGTCAGAATCAGCAAATTTCATTAAAACTTATTTTGTTTGACTTTGTGCAAATCCAAGTTATTATGCCATGAATGAAAAAAACTGTTCAAAATTTTGTATAAMCTCTTACAAAGAGCGCATCTTTGGTCCAATTTACACAACCCTGATTTTGGGTAAAACCACTGCTTTTCTGCTGCGAATCTTTGGAAACAGTCGGCTGCAGTCGATAATTGTTCTGCTCTTGAGTAGTTGAACAAAATTAACAGAGGCAGATAGCAGAGTGTTGTTTGTGCTGCTCATTCTTTTTTCAACATGTAGGAGCAAACCAACTTCCTCCTTGATCCAAACAAGGAGTATTCACCATTTTGGATCTAACTGTTTTTGAGCTGTGTGTCTCGTTTGGAGCCTGGCATCAGTGTTGCCACATATATGAGAATTACTGGGGTTTTTTCCCCTCACCTTTTCTGTGCACGTTCTCCACTCACAACACACCTTGTCTTGGTGTGCTGTTTTTTTTTTTTGCACCCACCCTGACCTCCTGTGTGTGATATTTTAATATTTTTTTTACATCCACAGGAAATGTTGACAATGAGCTTGGCCTGCATGGAGCTGCAGTTGGAACAGTGGTTGCACAACAAAGGCAAGATCGGTAAGTCTGTGTGCTCACTGACTTCGTGTTGCATAGAAATATTTGATTAAAACCTGGATGTATGGTCAGTTTTGTGYCACACTTATAAAAATCACTAGATGCAGTCTAGAGTTGTTCTGCTTGTTATTCTGTGTCTTATCATAAGCAGATTTTTAACCAAATGAAAAACAAAAACATCATTTCCACACAGTTTGCATATTGGAAATATATCAGGAAAATGAATTTCGAACAACTTTAAGATTGCCAGGAAAACAGTTATATTGAATAATTCATTGTTGTATTCATTATTCTGTTCATTATAGCAAATGAAACTTAGTGATTGATTAGTTGTTTTGTATCCTGTCTTTATTTTGTATATTAATCTGTGACCTCTATTTTTATTTTTATTTGTAGTTTTATATTTGCATTTATTTTTTGTTTATTGTATAGTTATTTTTGTGTTGAATTTATGTGAACTATGTATGCTATGTATTTTGTATTGTTTTATGTTTAATGTGTGGATCCCAGGAAGAGTAGTTGCAGACACTGCAACCAATGGGGATCCAAATAGAAAGAAAGAAAGAAAGTAACCTGTTTATTTCTTGTCTAGTTTCTCTGAGAAGAAGCTTAGGGGGTCCGAGCAGTGATGCAGCGGACTCAGAGTTCCCTGGACAACACTTCCAGAGTGATCAGTTAATCGTGGCCCTCGGTTCTTCACAGAGAGATCTGTTTGAGGACGACTGGTTGGATGTCATGGTACGCGTCCACTGGCTAAAGGCACGATTCTTGGCTCTGCAGGTAAAGGYGACATCTTCTGGTTTGTTGTTTTAGATCTTTTCTCACAGCTCAGCCTGATACGACCTGTAAGCCTGTATTTTTTCTCTTCTGACAGGGAGACATGGAATTGGCCCTTGAGAGCTACGATGTGTGTATAGGCCTGTTGCAGAGCAAACCAAGAACCCCTGACGGGAAACATTACACAATCAACCTGCCTAACCTGCGTGTAGATGCAGCCATTTCTGTGGAGGAGGTCAGTAAAAAATATATTTTTAAATCATTAATTTCTTTGTTTGTTGTCAAAACTTCAAAGWACTGTCACACAATGCAGAGAATGAAAATGTTATGGTTTTAGGCTTTTATTTTGACGATCTCCTTCATCTTCTTTAACAGATTGATAAGCGATTGAAGTCGCTGGAACGTTGTCAGTCTTTAGAGGAGATCCAGCGTCTCTTTGAGTCTGCAGACTTTCAGTCTGTTGTGCGCCTGCTTCAGCCAACTCTTAATTATGGCAACAGGAGCAAATCCCTGGAGTTTGTGAGCTCAGCACCGGAGCGCCCGGCACAGCTGATGCTACTGCAGGTTGGAAGTGAACCGAAAAGCCTTTCTCTTAACCACATAGAAACTGTCTGCGACGTTGTTTTTGTTGTTTTTCCTTCAACTGTTTGAGAGTCTTGTAAACGTTTGGTTATCTCGTTTTGCTGTGGAAAAGGATCATTTTTAAAGTAAATCAGACATGTTTGTGTGTGACCTGTGAGGATCTGAGTTTTACCTCTCCCTCCCTCCTAGAACTCCCTGTTGAAGCTGCAGGACCACCAGCAGTGTTTGGAGTGCAGCGAGCTGGCTCTGAACGAAGCCCTGCAGCAGCTGAACTCTGCTCCAAACGGCTCGTCCCCGAGCAAGGAGGAGTGGGTCAGCACCATCGGAAAGCTGCTGGACGGCATCGAAGTTTGTTTCACCAAGGAGTCTCAGCTTCTCAGCAACGTCTCTCACTTCTCGAGCGTGGCTCGACTGGCAAACAACCTGATTCAGGTGTGAAGGGGCAGGAAGGCAACGCTGGCTGCAAAGGAATACATCGAAACTGAACCATAAGATTAATTAAAAAAAACCTGTTGTTTTTCCAGCTTATAGACCTCAGCATGAGTACTTCAGATGATCCCAAGGAGCCTTATTTCTTCTCAGTTCTTCCTTGGGTTATCTTGTATCGCATCATCAAACAGGAGGAGGCTGCYTTTGGCTGCACGCTTCGACAGCAGATGTCTTTAGATGACGATGAAGGTTTGTACTTTTCCTTTTCCCTCAGCGTTTGTGCATTGCCAGGTTGTTTCCTGTTTAGTCACCCTCAGGTGTGATTGTTTTTCAGACGAGCCAGACACTTCCATGCTTCCCTCCTCCCTGATGATTTTGAATACAGCACACGAGTATCTCGGCCGTCGTTCTATATGCTGCAGCTCCGACGGCGCCCTYCTCAAGTTCTTTGTAAGTTTTCTGTTAGGCGTTTAGTTTTCCAAATCTAAATTGAAAAAAATAACATATATACTGTAACACTATTCTCTCTCTTTTATGCCTTTTTGTTTTGGGCAGATTGGCGTTTTGGAAAAAGAGTTTGCTGCTATAACCAACAATGACTCTCATCCATATAAAGAAGAGTTGGAAATGGCCTTGGAGCAATGTTTTTTCTGTTTATATGCCTACCCCAGTAAGAAGAGCAAGGCCCGTTACCTTGAGGACCACTCATCTCCGCAGGTCGTACCTTACTTACGTACTCATCCCTTGTTTATCTGTCCCATTTATCCAGTGAGTTATTTCATTGAAGTTTTAAAACAAAACAACACATGTCGCTGAGCTGGTCTTTTAGATAACAGCCAGGTAGCGATGAGGAGGCGGTGAAACAGTGAAGAGGTGGCTCAAAGCTTTGACTCATTGGTATTTCTCAGTGGAATGGACAGACTTTTGTAAGAGGAGTGCATGACAAGGAGCAGACTGCTGATGATGCAGAAACATGCTGCCATATCCATTAGTGCTGTTTTGTGAGTGAGGTATGCTCGGTGGGTTCAGTGAAGTAAACAGAGGTCGTGAAACGTCATCGTATTGGATTGAGTGAAGAAATGTAAACTACACACATACATAAGGGCTCGGCTTTATTTTCGTGCAGACCTTTATTGTCTTTAGTGTTTGTTATGTGAATTGAAAATTAATCGAAACAGTAAGCTTCAATTTGATCCAAATGATTTTGTTTGTTTGTGTAATGCTTGTGTCCAACCACCAGAGGGAGACATTGCGTTTAGATTGCCAGGTTTACGAGGAATTTTGACATTCCACAGAACAACAGAAGTCCATTAATTTTTGTTGTCAAGTGATTTCAGAGCTGATGTTTTTTGTGGACATGATCTGCGTCTTACAGGTGGAGCTGCTGTGGAGCGATGCCCTCTTCATGTTCCGGTACTTCAAACCCAAGTCGCTGCCCGAGTTCGACAGTTATAAGACGAGCACAGTGTCTGCAGAACTGGCCAACCTGCTCAGGAGGTTTTCCACCATCGCCCCCGCTAGTGACACACCCGTCCTCACTATGGATGAAGTGGCGGCCTACATCGAGGGCGTGGCAGAAAAGGTTAGACGAGCCACACTGAGTGTGAGGATCAGCCGCCACGATAAACAGACGATAAATCAGTCTGTTAGCAAAATATCTCATAAACCAGAAGAGAGATTTTAATGAAACTTTAGGGAGTTATTCATTAGTATCACAACATTATGATTACAGCTGTAAAATGTCTTATTTTACAATTGGTATTTATAAACAAAAAAAAAACACTTCTATTGTCATAGTTCACTTTAATTTTCTTTAAAAACTGTTTTTAGATCACAGGTCTAATGCTGAAATTGTATTCCTCTTTAACATGTGCGCTCAAACTTAGCACCTGAAGCAGTTAAGCTATGCTGATAAATTTTACATCAGAGAAGATTACACTTAGCTTTAACAGCTAAGACAAATCAAGCTATACTGTGCAACAAGTTGTCTATTCCTTGACTTAATGTATCACGTTGGGAGATTTTATTGTGTTTTTAAATTCTGAAGGTGTGTTTGACGTGAAGGAGATAGATAAATCATTACACGCACACAGGAACAACAGAAATCACAAATATGAATGTGTGTTTATGAAATGCATGTAGACTTTTGACTTTCATTTAAAACTAATCAAATAAAAAATCGAACAATTCCAAAACACTTTTGTAGACAAGCTGCGACTGGCACAATATGCCACAGTGACATGGTGATAATGTCTGATGCTAAATTAGCTTGTTCATTTGAAGACATTGTAAACTTTCCCTGGTGGTGCTCCCTTAGATCATGTTAGATGCGTTGCCTCCTCTGGCTGCAAGTTGTCGTCCTTTTTTTTTTTTTTTTTACAGTAGTTGAAGTATTCCCATGTAGCTGACTTTATTCCTTGGTTGTTTTTTTTATATTGTCCATTTTTTTTGTTTTGATAACATTAATTAAGTAAATCCATCTCACTCATTTGCAGGTTTGTTATTGCGAATCATAAATTTTATTGTTTAATCTTGATCTTTTTTAGGCCCCTGGCCTTCCTGCGGACAGTGCCCCCCCACCTCCAATCATCAATGAGATTTACTACCTGCTGGCTGATTATCATTTCAAGAACAAGGAGCAGTCCAAAGCCATCAAGTTCTACATGCATGACATATGCGTGTGTCCCAACAGGTACATGTGCATTTCACTACACCTCTGTCAGGATCTGCAGCTGCCTGCATGCTCTTTGTTTTTAGCACATAGACTTGTTTTTTAATTTCTTTTTGTATTTAGTGCAAGTATTCTGAGTGTTGCGTGATCTCCCCTTAGGTTTGACTCCTGGGCAGGTATGGCTTTAGCTAGAGCCAGTCGCATCCAGGAAAAGCTCAATTCCAACGAGCTGAAAAGCGACGGTCCCATATGGAAGCACTCCCAGGCCGTGCTCAACTGCTTTAAGAGAGCCCTGGAAATCGACAGCTCCAACCTGTCGCTGTGGATCGAGTACGGGACCATATCGTACGCGCTGCACTCGTTTGCCTCGCGACAGCTTAAACAGTGGCGAAACGAGCTCCCMCCAGATGTGATTAAACAGGTGAGATGTGTGTGGCTCATTAGTTTTTCTCATGTTCACTCTTGTTTCTGATGTGTCCGCTGAATGCCCATACTGTSTCGCTTTATTCATTTCAATGTTTTATTTATCAATTTAATTTTCAGACTTGAGGTAAAACACACAGAGATCTTACTGAAGGTGTATTTTTGTTGTTTCAGATGGAGGAAAGGAGAGACTCCATGTTGGAGACGGCTTTTCAGTGTTTCCAGGGTGCCTCTCGATGTGAGGGTGACAGTGATGAAGAGGAGTGGCTTATTCACTACATGCTGGCYAAGATAGCAGAGAAGCGCAGAAAGCTCCCTGCTGATTATCTGCAGCTGTACAAACAGGTTAAAAACTATTCATCATTCTTTTTGATTCAGACAGTAGCTGGGCAGGGTTTCTTGACATCTGCTGCCCCTTAAGGCCCCTACATACTCCTCCTGAAGCTGTGAAACCACTCGTCATTGTTGCAGTTRTGTGATGAAAAYGGCATMATKTTTTTCGGCCACCACTTCTTCACACAARGCCGGGGCTGAACTTTGTTGCACATCTTAATGCGCCAAAAATTGTGTGATTGGTCAGACGTTCATGGGCGTGTTTGTTTCTGCAGAACAGCAGTGGTTTTTTGCTCCAACTAGTTGGCTTCCAGAAGCTGGCTGTTGTTCGTCCAAACAACATGGACAGTTTTGAGCAGTATTTTTCTGAGACATCAGAAAGCACTTCTTTCTGTGTGCCTCTTTTAGATAGAATTCCAACTGCGTACATGGGAGTAAACTCTACAAGCAGAAAGAAACCCCCTGTGCTCTGAAGCTAGGTCTACAGAAGGCGCGTGCCAATAGTGACGCAATCGCGCAGTCCCCGCCCTGCGTGTTGGCATGCGCACGGTGTCCTGGCGCATGGTTGTTCACCTCCGATTTTTTGTAACTCCGCAAATTAGTTTTCTGTCAAGCTTTTGCTCTCCTACTTACAACATTTTCACAAATTATAAAGTGTACTGCTGCATGTTCTTTTGGAGAATGCTACAACAACATAAGTGTCAAATATAAACACCTACACCACTGACGAGCGTGCACACTGCGCAAATACCCAGAATTCAACTATAACCCAGCCTCGATGCGTAAAGCACCAGGAGGAGTTTCCCAAAGCGTGATGTGTCTCATGAGCTATGAAAGGTGTGTGCAAAAACAAATGTTGCGCAACCACGTGACTGTGTGTTGACTGGTTGGCTTCAGATCCAGTATGTTGGGCCCTTTATTGTGACATAAGAACCGTTTGACTCTGCTTGTCAAAATGATCAGCAGGGCCTTGTTATTTATTTATTTTTTAACTCTCTTTGGATTTGTTGCATAAAACTGATAAAAACAAACTAAACAAGAGTCACTTTCACAAAATGTTTTATTTTTGGTTTTAAGCAAAACAATTTGAAGTAAAATTGTAATTCTACTGCTAAGATTGGAACAGTTGAGGGACCTGATCCATATTAAACYAGTGTGGTTTCATCTTGGGAAGCAGAAAAAATATGGAATATATTTCCTTTCTTTGTATTTATTAAGTTGCCAGACTCTTTATTTCTGTTTTGTTTGAAGAAAAAAAAAAATCCAGTGCGCTTCACAAAATCTTTAAATATAATTATTAATTAGCAGCAATTAATTACTTAAATGTATGTATATTTTATTTATTTGTATTTTAGAAGTGTCATTTTAATGTTAATTAATTAATAAGGATGCTTGCAAAGCATAAAAGCTGTCAAGCAGGGTTATTGTCTGTAATTTTTCCAATTAAAACCTGTATTTCAACTTCAGGAGTTTATTCTCCGCATTTGTTTTTAGTTACCATAAGTGAGTCATTGTGTTGGAAATGTGTGCCAGTTTGTTTTAGAAACTTTTGAATGCTACATTTATTTTTACTACACAGTAAATTAGTCAGTTATAGTTAATAATTTTCATCCGTTTTTTTATGTTTTCATAAACAGAGATGATAAAAAAAGACAAAACTTTTTTTTCTTTTCTTTTTAAATCAAAGTTTTGTTGTCAAATTTAGCTCACCATCACTTACAGGAAGGTTAACTGAGGAAAAGTTTAGATCGTAAGACAAATAAAGTGAAAGTATTACGAATGAGAGAATTTAATTCAAATGAATACAAATTTGTCGACTGAGATGTGTTTGCACTCATATAACAAATATAATGGATTTAATTAAAGAAACTATCTCAACCGGTTTCCCTTAACTAAAATGAATAAAGTTAACACATTTGTATAATGTAAATGAATTGATTTTGTGCTGCTTTAAAAGGAGAAATACATACAAAATAGGTTAAATACATTGAAATCTGGAAATGTTCAAATGACGTTTCTGTTGAAACCCTTCTTAGTGTCTGCTGCTTTTAACTTCAGTAGTTTAAAAGTTAATATATATGATTAGATTTGTGTAACTGACTTTTCTGTTTACATGTTTTTGCTTTGTTTAAAGGCAGCACACTTTCTACATGAAGAAGCAGCCAGGTATCCCCGGAAAATTCACTACCATAACCCTCCTGACCTGGCTATGGAAGCCCTGGAGGTGAGCTGTCTGCGTTTGGTGGCTCAGACGGTTAAACCAGTGCAGTCAGTGTCAGGAGGCATTAAATCCTGTTTTCTGAATTCCTCCAGTTGCATTTCCGTTTGAGTGCCACCATCCTTAAGTTACTGGAATCTTTTGAATCTGATCTGGACCACGAGCTCCTGTTTAATTTGCTGGTTGAGGCAGCGACCGGGCCGTTCGCGAGGGGGGAGGAGAAGAATATGCCAAGCATGCCAAGGTCAAATGAAAAGTAAGCTTTATAAAGGAAAGCCGAGCAGGAAATTTTTAAAAAAAGAAAAGTTGATTTGACAGGAAAACGTTCATCCTTGCGTCGATGTCATTTCAGGGAGAAGCCCTCCTCAATGATGGAAGAAGACTTTAACTGTTCCTCCGGGAACGTCCTCAGCTCCTCCCTCCCATCTGCCGCCACCCCAGGTCTGACTTCCCCTCCTTACGTGGCCACGCCGTTTGACCACGATTACGCCAAACGCAAAACACTCCGAAGGCAGCAGTGGCAGCAGCAGCGGCATGAGGAGCAGCAGGCTGATGGTACAGTCCCAGTCCTGGACACTGTCTCTGGGGTTGGGCTCTTTGCCTTTTTCTGCACTGGGACAGGAAGCCCACCAGGGGTGTGCTCAGAACGCTAATCACCACGCTGAAAGGCTTCGTTTTCAGTTCCTATGGTCCCCATGCACCGGGTGATATGGATGTGGTGAAAAGGGCAATATGGCTGCTGATTATTTGACGTATTTGCTTTGCATGATCAAAAACCATTGATTTCTACTTTGAGCTTTGCTGAGAACGTTCTCTCTGTCTGTCTGTCTGTCTGTCTGTCTGTCTGTCTGTCTGTCTGTCTGTCTGTCTGTCTGTCTGTCTGTCTGTCTGTCTGTCTGTGTAGTGTTGTCATATCAGTCTCTTGTGGCTGCTTTATTCAATCATCCTGCTTTAATTTGTAACTTAGTATTTGTTTCTTTAAACCTGGTTCAGCCTGCTGTTTCAGAATCCCTCTGCTACTTCACACAATATCAAAGAAAAGGACTGAAAGAGACCAATTCTTTTAAAGCATGTTTAAAATGTTTCATATAAAAGATGCAAATCTATTGTCAGGTTTTAGTTAAAATTATAGCTTTTATTTATTCCAAGGATATGATAAAGCTTCCTAAAGTGACCTGATTAACACTGATTCTTTTAAAACTGATTTCATTAAACTCAAAAGTTCCTTTTCTCATTAATTACAGGTAAGAGGGAAGGATGTGTTCCTGAAAATCTGAGTTATCAGAATAGTTGAAACCGAAAATGTGCTTGATGCAGCTTTTACTTTTTATATTTTTGCATGTCCTCCATCTGTTTGTCTACTCTTGCACTTGACGTGCTGAAATGGCATTTTTGTTTGATTTTGTAAGAATCWTGCAAGAAGAATAACAAGGAATAGTTGCAACATCTAAGTTGAGCTTATTTTCTGTATCCGTTTAAGCCTTGTCACTAACCTTTTAGACAACTCATGAAGATTTTAAAGATGTCTACGTTGAAGATGGAATTAAAAAAAATCACCTGGAAGCCTCTTTTAGGTACATAGTGTAATGCTAACAAATTGATCAAATATAAAACTTTTCTTAGTAATTTAGTCAAAATAAATGTTTCATAAGTTGTGTAAATATAGTGTGACAGGGCCTTAAGTTGCATTGTAAACCTGAAGTTAAATTTGTATCTGGGTGGGGATAATGTTTCCATCAGATGAAATTTGTGATATCTGTCCTCACCTCATCCATGTGGAGGTGTTTAGTTTTGAATGTGCAAATAACGCAGCCATATTGTCCATGTTGCCCGTTTTGTCACCCTTTCCAGATTCCTTCCTACCTACCTACCTACCYACCCACCTACCTGCCTGCTACCTCTTTTGCCTGCTTGCTTTTACCACCTGCTTTGCCATATTCTGCATGTAATTCTAATGGGGTGATTATTGTCTTCACAGCTGGACAAAGTCAGTCTTTTTTTAATCACAATCCACTAAACTKTCTGCTCTGTCGTATTGTCACTTTTAATTTCTGTCTGGTGTGGGTAAACTCACAGAAAGTGAGAAGGGGAGCTGTCCACCTGCCTTCTTTCTAATTGGATACATTTTCTAATTACGGTCAATTATGGTGAAAAGTCTGGAGGAATGTGGCAGCCGTTTATTGGCACACAACTCTGAGACTGAAGWTGGAAAGTGCTTCACGGTGCAAATCACTGCTGGGAGGTGTCAAATCTCACTTGAGTCCTGCTGAACATGGACCAAGGTGACTGTAGAACCAGATTCAGACRTGTTCAGGAAACTGTGATCTGCTGTTTATTGTATGAAACCAATGATTTTCTTCTAAGACGTTTGTACAAAACTAAACAACTTTTAAGTTTTATCTCAAGCTTTTTATTCAAAGGCAAATGATTTAAGTTTTATACTGTTTTGTATTGTTTGTAAGGAAACACTTGTCTGAATTAGGTTCTACATTTTCAATGGGAGTGGCATTGCATTTTCTGATTTTTAAGGCTACTGTAAGATCATATTTTAACAGCTTTAAGAGGTGCATTATTATTATTTTTTGTAAACCAGCTTCCCCATATCTTCAACAGCCTCACCAGGGTTTGACCATGATTACTGCCTGCCCAGGTCTGCAAAGTGGCTGGCTTCTCTCAATGGTACTGCTCCTCCAACCCACCAAAATAAAGTGCTTTCTCTGACAGGAAGCGCCGAATACACAGCTGTCAGTTTACACAACCTTTACAGTACCATAGTAACTGCTGTTGACTCACGACTGTAAATCATTTGAAAAGCCTCTCGTCTTTATCTGTCTGTAAATAGCAGAAAAGCGACCTGCTCTCTCTGATTAACTGTTCCCTGCCAAGGCTTTTTTTGGTTGTTGTTGTTGTTGAGGCTGCAGAACGTGGCAATTAGGAGGAATGCTGGCATTTAGTTTTTTGGACTTATTTTTGTTTTTTTTTATACAGAAACAGCCCACCTGTCCTTTGTAACAATGTGACATTAGTTATGCACTTATAAGGATTTGCAGCTTGTGATTTATTTTAAGAAAATAATTACATGTTCCCTTGTCTCCTCTTGTTGCAGCAGCAGGGAGTGTTTGGCATTTTAACTTAACTACCTTTACAAAAAGCAAACGCAGCATGTTAGTCAACCTAAAAACCATGTCAAACTGTAAGCAGCATGGTTATTTCATCTTATTTCTTATATTATCACCATCACTTGAACTGACAGAGATGTAACTGCTTGAAAACAAAAGAAAAGTTTTTAAACACACTTTTTTTTTGGTCAAAACTCACTGATGTTTATTTGTCCATGCTACCCCAGATGCTGAGATTATCTCTGTGTGATTGTCCAGCTGCCAGAGTAACCTGTGCTTTTGCTTGTTTTGGCAGAGCGAAGTCAGGACAGCGAGGTGGTGTTGCTTTCTGACTCCAACTCCACCCAGGATGCCTTCACAGATCCCACCAACTCACAAGACATGAGCCACAAACCTGCCTCAGTCAAAGCCAGTCCATCGTCCTCAGAGAACACCACCCCTGTGAAGGACGGGCAGCTCACAGCTGAGGACACAGGTAGGCGGGGTTTAAAAGTACCTCTTTTATTCCACTTTAACCCCAGACTAAAATCCTTGTTATCATTTTTTTCTTTAGTCTTGCATAGAGACCCTCCAGGCATCCAGACGGAAGAGAAAGTTATGCAGGGAAAAGTAGAACCCATGTTGGTGGTGGTGGTGGTAGACCCCGAAGCCTCTGTCCCTAAAGCCTCCACAGAGCCCTGTCTGACTCCTCTTGCCATCCCAGCCACCCCACCCAAAGCAGCCCCCTCGCAGCAGKCCGCCGCTCAGACCCCAGTCAATGAGAGCAAGAAGAAGCCCGAGCCCCCCGCCGAGGTGATCGAAGTGCCCAAAGCCCTGCCTGCGGAACGAGCKGATCAGAGGCGACTGCTGGTGGAAATGTGCATCCGCGCTCTCTTCCTCTGCCTCAGCCGCTTCCCTCAGCACTACAAGAGTCTCTACCGCCTGGCCTACTTCTACACGAACAGCAAAACGCATCAGGTCAGTCTGCCTGCAGCTCATCGCAGCAGTTCCCTACAGATTCCTCAAGGATCACTTTATGATTGATCGTTTWATGGATTYCTGTTTTATCGATGGTCATTTTTTGTTGTTTGGATCTGCRAGCACTGCGGYGAGGCACAGCCTGTTGGCTTTGAGRCRCTGTGGGCAGAGGTGTGTGTGGGGGTGGTTGTGCTGTCCTCTATCAGCCAGTTTGGCACAGAGAGAGAGAGTTGAGCTTTACTGTGGTGGCAACCTTCTGTCAGCACTGTTCAGTTTAATTCAGCCCCTGCTCATATCTGTTAGGAGTTAATCTGCATAAAGAAAGGCCTTTCTGTTTTGGAGCATCCTCGTTKGACCTTTGTCTCAAAAGAATTTAAAAAATGAGTAAACCATCCCTTGTTTTTAGTTTTCAGCTTAAAGGAGAAGTCCCCTCACAGAATCACTTGATGTAGCTCAGCCGCCCTCACAGCTCAGGCACATCCGTGTTAAAAGCCTCTGCGTCCTCATGAAAACTGTCCATCTCACATGGACTGTCCGTTCTTTACCCTCATACTACAGAAAGAAAGAGAGGGAGGCTTTGATGGGGTGCTGCAGACCAGCAGCATTGTGAAAGATAATATGAAGCGAAGCTTCGGCTTGCTGTCTTTTCAAACAGAACGCTCATATCCACACTGATCTGTGAAGACGTCTGCCTTTTCTTGATGGCAAATGAGCAATTCTTCTCCTCTTCTCATTAAGAGTTATCGTGTGTGTGTGTGTGTGTGTGTGTGTGTGTGTGTGTGTGTGTGTGTGAAATGTACATGCAGATACATGTTTTTTTTTCTCTTCTTTTCATTTATTTATTTTCCATCACAGAACCTACAGTGGGCCAGAGATGTGTTGCTAGGAAGCAGTGTCCCATGGCAACAGCTGAAGCACATGCCAGCACAAGGACTTTTTTGTGAAAGAAACAAGACAAACCTGTTCAACGTAAGTCAGAGTTCAAACGTATACTTTTTTGTCCAGTTTCATTTGTCATTGCAGTGTCACCACATGCTGCTCACATATCATTCTACCTCTTCTATGTTGTACTTGAAGCCATATTATGATTTAACAAGGTGAGTTATCTGATAACGTTGCATGGAAATTAGCTGTAAATGCCTAAATAGCTGCTGGTTGTTGCAGCCTGATAAAAAAACAATAGCAGTCTGTAAGAGCCAGGCTCGTGTGGCCATTCTAGGATCTGCATAAATGAGTGCACAGTAGCTCTCACAGTATTGACAAGTAAAGACAAAAACGCTGAGATAAACATGATAGAAATCAGAATAACACCTTTTCAGTTTTAGATGTGATGAAATGCACTGATGTGTTCAAAAAGATGCTCCTTTATTCATGTTTCTGTTTAAAAAGGCATGACGGTTGAATAACATCCTGTGAGAGATAGAAAGGTTTTTTTTTCTCCTGAAAAGTCCAGCAAGCTTTAAAGGCCTCAGATATTGCAGAAAAGAATAGCTTGTAATTTAAAACATTTATGTTCAATTCTCAACACAACAYATTTCTTTTCCAACATAAAGATGTATTTATTCTAGTTGCATCAGTAGGATGGTTTGCATGGTCTCTGTCATAATACACTCGTTTAACACAGTCCCTGTTTACACCTGGAGCTAAAACATGTCGGATCATCCACTCACCTGATATAAGAGCGTACTACACTCAGGTTTTGCTTTTAGTTGCATTCAGACTGAGAACATTCAWTCATAATTTTTTATTCATTTCATTAAAATTTTTTTTTATACACAATAAAAATACAAACAACGAAATGAAGGGAAGCAGAGAGAAGAACAAAATCTTATACCTGCCCCCTTTTTTCTCAAGTATAAATTCAAACAACAATAATCCTCAGTTAAAAAAACAAAACAAGAACATCAAATCATTCTAGAACAACAAATTATATGTTTACACATTATACAGTTTCATATTTTTTCAACAATCCAACCTTTATCGTTCTCTTGAACATATTACTTTGATTTGGCACTTTTCACATCATTTTCCAGAACATTCCACAATATGATTCCTTGGATTGAGGTGCACYGTTCGTGAGGTAGAATAGAATAGAAACAGCCTTTATTGTCCCACAGTGGACCAGGACATGTGTAAAGTGACRCACAGAGCTCTCTGATGAGTCGTGTTAAAACCAGAGGTAAACACCATCACAGCTCTGTGTAGAGTTTATTCACAAGTAGTGATGCTGAGYGAAGGATCACAGCTTTCTCCACGTTTTGAAACAGGCAAAATCTTTTCCCTATTCTTACATTTGCTTTTTATTTTAACTAACTACAGCTTTTAACAAAGTGTTCTCAAGGTTTGGAAAGTGCTTGATTTCTGTATAAAGTCCTTGAAAATGYTTGACATTCTAACTGCACAGTTTTGTAATGAGCACCAACAGCTTGATTAAAAACCTTAATTTGATAATTTTTGTGTTAAAGGCACAAACAAAGAGCGATCGATCATTTTGTCTTTAGTGAAGTCTTAGAAAGCCTCGCTGCCCCTCGGAGCGGGTTTACTTCTTTTTGTAATACCAGCTTGTGAGCAGTAGGGATTGCCTGATGAAAAGACCAGCCACTGGACCGGCAGCTTCCTCTGKCTTTTTGTCATGGGCACACCCTGGACAGGGTCGCAAGTTAGGGCAGGGCGGTAAATCGATTTAATTGATTAATTTGAATTTGCCATTTATAAAGATTTAATTTAGGGAAAATCAAGATTTTCTTTCCCACCAGTGCACTCTTTGGGGTTTCTGTAGTTCAGAGGTCAGCCCACCTGTCCCTCAAGACGTTTGGTACATGACATGACAATATGGCAGCTTGCAAAGAGGATCTACTTCTCAAAAAGGACACTGTTTCTTCAGTTTTCTGGAACTGGTTAGGTTTTGCAACTTTGGACTTGGAGCATTGAACACCTCACTGCTAAATCTGTTTGAAGGCTCTGGCTACAAAAAGCAGGAGTACAACAAATCTGTTTCAACACCTGAAACAGAGGGAAACAAAATTGTTAAAAATCAAAAACTTGAGATGAAAAAAATCAGATTTTTTTGGGGCCATATCGCCCAGCCCTATCACAAGTCCATCACAGTGCCACATAGAGACAAACCATCGTTCACACTCACACCGAGGGACAGTTTAGAGCTACCAGTTAGCCRCGCAGTCGTGTTTTTAGTTTGTGCCTGGAGAAAACCCACACATTCACAGAGAGAACATACAAACTCTATCCAGAAAGTAGGCGTGCAATAACACATGTATCTGTATCAAAACGTACAATACAGTGATCTATGTTCAATACACACTAYGTATCAAACAAAACAGATGTTTAAAATGTATTTTATCAACTTGTCTTCTGAAGATGCTCTGTGTTGAAGGATCAGTGGRTCTGTGTTYRACTACTCACCTAGGCTGCATTGTTGAGCACAGATCCACTGAGAAACTTGCTGTTTCAGCAACATTTAATTTAAAAACTGTACTTTTGAGGTTAAACAAATGTTCASAATTAATTTCTATCCGACCACCTTCTTGCAGGGAGGCATCAGAGACAGATGCTGTGTACCATAATTAGAAAGCTCAATGGAGAAAGGCAAAGTAAAAAGAATGGATGGATGGAGCACTTTGAACCAGTTTTAATATTTTCACACTCAGTTTCAAAACTTTTTTCCTTTCTCAGTTGCCTAGCAACCAGCATAATGCTTCATCTTTTGCAGTTGATTTTTATATTTTTTCATCACTGCTTTTTCTTTCTTCTTATAATTTGCRTATTCCTTATATTTACTCCCAGGGTTTGTGAATCTGGTTTAATTTATTTAAATTAAAATTCAACCATAATACTGTTTTTCCTGTCTTGGCAGTGTGGTGAATATTGTATTTTGGCATTACGATGCATGGATTAAAGCACCGGGAAAGKGTTGGTTTTAAAGTGTAAATAATAGCAGTTTCGTGCCTCAAAGTTTGTGTATTTTATTTTGAATCACAATTTAAAACAAAATCATTTTGGCCTCTTTTAACAGGGAGGAACAATAAAAAAGATTTGTGGCTTCTGTCCATCTGCAGAGGAATTAAATAATAAACAGTTTTATTTTTTTATATGTGACTCATACTGGCAAAATKAATCACAATGAGGACATTTTTCCATTATAAGTTGTTAATATTTTGAAATTCGCTTTTTCAAAATAATATTTGTTGACATTTGGCGATTTTTGACCTGGCTGGTAAATTAGTTTTGTTTGTTTAAAAACTCTTAATTTTTAATTTCTTAAATGATTTCATTAGGAATCCCAGTCCTATATGTAAATTAAAAAGAGGCTCCAAGCTTTACAGTGACGACAAACAGAGGTGGGTAGAGTACCCAAAAGTTGTACTCAAGTGAGAGTAGCACTACTTCAACATATTTTTACTCGGGTAAAAGTAAAAATTAGCCATCTAAAAAATTACTCAACTAAGAGTACAAAAGTATTTTGTAAAAAGTCTTCTTAAGTACTGAGTAACTGATCTGGTTTAATTTTTTAAATGATATCAGTCTGACAAAAAATAGAAAGTTGTGTGAAAATTCAGGTGTTTTTAAAAGACTAAAATGAATAAAAGTAGTACAAATAAATAACATAATTACAAAATAAAATATTCCAGATGAGCCACTGTTCCAAATCATGTTTTTATTATGAAACCTATGAAACTAATACTTACAGTAGGTAAWGTTTCTACATCTGTTTATACTCGGCCAGGAAAAAGACGTCTGATTTTTTGTCAGTCAGCAGGGGTAACAAGACATGAGTCAAAGTATAAAACAAGCTTTAATGTAAATGAGAAAATTTAACTAGTTCCTACCTCTTCATACAAAATAGTTTTTCTGGCACCACAGCAGCCAGCAGGGAAAAACAATAATTATGAAAGTTTTAAGGCCAAGAATTATTTCTAAAGGCACACCTGTTGAAARCTTTTTTCAAAGATAGATTATGAAGATTCAAGCTGTTTTAATGACTGGAATTTCTGGATTGCATCTTTTTATTCTCAGGTTCACATAAGTCTGAATTATGTCAAAAATCAATATTTTCACTTTGTGCTGAAGGCTGTGATCATTTCAGCCTGTTTTGCCAGCACAGGTAACAAGCTATTACTTAATCAAAACTAAAACCACTTCAGTAGAAGTAATCAGTTATTTATACTTTGACTACAGTTGGATTTTACTTGTTTACAAAAAAATTTAAACCTCAACATTATTATCTTTTGGCTAAATAATTAAGCACTTCTTCAGCTACTGGTTAACCAACAATGAAGGATTCCAGTTGGCATGCTAAACAATAATAAAATCTATAATAGCAAAATAAAGCAGCTTAGTAAAATAAAATGTGTGAATTCACTCCGTTTATGCCAGGATATGACACATCAGGCCACTGGGTGGTGTCATTTTCTAATGTGATGAACTTCAGTCCATACTTACTTTATAAGTATTTTTATATAACTGGTGATTGTTGACAGATGGTGACATTGGTAGTATTATTCCCCTGATGGGCTGTAATTGAACAATTCAAAGCAGTGTTGTAGTTTACTTTAGAACTGTTTTCTTAGCGAACACCTCAGAGTTGCAKCTACTGCCAGTCAAAGTGGAGGGGTGTGTTTTTTATCAAAAAGAGGCTGGAACGATGTGCCAAGCCTAAGACACCAACTGTGTTGCTCCACTCTTGGAGTGTGCTGACCTGTTTTTATTTATTATCTATTATTTTTTATTAAAGCGCTTRTATCGGCTCTAAAACTAGATATATCTTCCTTACTTTTAAATGTATTACAAATGAAAGAATCACGTAAGACTCTGTGATATTTGAACTGTGTGGTATCTGCTAATGTACACTCTGAGGACTGYATCTAATGATCTGTGTGTTTGCTGTGATTGACTGACCTACCACAGTTGGATTTACTCGTATCATCCATTGGATCCTGTTTAATTTACCTGAT